TCTCAATGTGATATCCATTGCAGCAGATACGTTTAAAACTCAGCAAATTTCTTCTGAATTTGTTAGAATAAAATGTATCGTCAATATATAATTTTGTATTATTTGGTAAAATAATACAAGCTCTTCTGGAGTCTTCAACAATATTCGATGCACCTGATATCATATTAACATTATTTTCTACTAATGTTAAATTTAAAAAAGACAATTGTCTTGAAGAATAGTGTGCATATTTGCACTATTAACTTAAACAAATATTTCTACAATTCATCTCGAAGTTTGTGATATTACCATTTGAGTAACTGCACAATAAAATAAAATACAATTAATCTTGAAGAATATGACTAAATATCACACAATAATTAATCAAGTAGTCAATATCAACATAACATGAATTATATATTTTCCTTCGGGGATAAACACTAATTTAAAATAATATGTTATTCGAACCACGTGCTACTTCGGGAGCACGTCATATTTTACTATTACTTTTTCAAAAGCAATATGTCAATATTCTTCTGGAATATTGAAAATTATAATTTATGATCTTCGGGAACAAGTAATATTCTTCACGAATATTAATTAATAATGTTGTGCTACCTCATGGATAATAAAAAATTATTTATAATAAACAAATCTACGATTGATATTCTTCTGGAATATTATTTATAAAGTTGAGCTACATCATGAGCTATAACAAGTAAGTGGAGATGAAGAAAAAAAATTGATAATTATGACATGCAGATACCAATTAAATGATTACGCGATTATGCAAATTGGTTTTCATCAAATTGAGTAGAAAGAAGCCACCAATTAACTCATAAAAAAAAAAAATCTAAAGTTATTTAATCAGATTTAAATATTAATTACCATACAGACATAATATAAACTTATATATAAAAATTAATTACCAAACATTCTTCATATACAGAATCTCAACTTTGTCATTATACCATATGTACAAATTAGAAATATGATAATTCCATTCTTGTGACCGTAGTCTACATGGTCATATTTGCAAAGATAATTCAATCAACGCACGGTAAAGAAATTAATCCAGGCGGCGGGTTCATTAGGCATCGACACATGCATGGATATAGAATATATTCAAACTAAATCATAAACTAATCCATACTATCAAAAGCCATAAATACAATCGCAAAATCCAGAAGATGAATTATTGCTTTTCTATATTAAGAGTTATACAGTTAAATAGTGAAAAGAAATCACACATACTAATAATTGCAAAAGTAATTGCAGTAATTTCGTTATGATTCATATATATGTAGAAAATAAAAAAATTCACACGTCTCCAAATTAATTTTGGTATACGTGATAGATGATTAAACTTAAATAAATTATTACCTTCATAGAACTTTGAAAAATTAAACTTTTCGTGTTGATAACGTATTGTGAAAAGAAAGAAAAAGGGAAGAGAGAATAAAAGTCAATAAATTTGTGTGTATTATAATGAGAACCAAAACCCTATATTTATCAAGACGAATAAGTGATACATATGGTAATAATTTTTAGGATTGCAATGGTACAATTGTCATTCACCAATAACTTACTATTTACAACAGTTATATATTTATAACCCAAAGATTGCTTATAAAAAGGAGAATTGCAGACACGGTCCCAAACCTTTCATTTTATCAAAAACTTTAATGAAATATTTCATTTGTATCATTCATTGTTCCAAGCCTTTCAATTCATTTCAGGAGAAGGCTGGTTTCATCCATTAACCGTCCAAAAATTAAAAATCTACCTCTTTTGATCAATACTAGTTGAGCCACGTGCAATGCACGTGTTTTAGTTTAATTGAGTATGTAATAGCGTGGAAATGGTGAAATGATGGTTAGAAATTGAAATTTT